AGTGTAGAAGAGTTCTGAATTCTCAATTCCTTCTTTTTCCTCCCTCCATTTCAGTCTTGCTTTTCTTCCTCCCCCACTTCTTAGCTACCTTGCCTTTTTCCCCCCTCCTTCCTTCCCTTTTTCCTCCCTTCTTTGCTTTTCCTTCCTCCCTCCCCTTCCTCCTTTCCATCTCCATATCTCTCTTTTGCTTTTCCTTCCTACTTTCCTTTATTCCATCTCCATCTCTCCTTTTTGTTTTTCTCCCTTTCTCTTTCCTTCCTTCCACCGCTCCTTTCTGCTCCCTCCATCCCTCCTTTTCCTTCCTTGCTTGTTCTTTTCTTTTTCTCCCCTCCTCCCTTTTTAATCTCTCCCTCCTTCCTTCCTTCCTTCCTCTTTCCTTTACTACTTCTCTCCTCTTTCCTTCCCAGGTGCAAATGGTGGTAGTGGGCCGTGTAAATGACCTTGGCAGGTCATATCCAGCCTGTGGGCCATAGTTTGAGGGCTGCTGTTTTAGAAGATGCCACAACTATCGTGAAGGACTTTTCCCTCAGGAAAATAATAATAAAACAAGAGCCTGTGATCTCCAAGTAAGTGCAGATACATAGAGAGAAAGGCACTCTGGCCATGAATTATGAAGGATTTTAACAGCCAAAACCATTTGTGCAAAGCCACCACGCTGTGCCCCAACACGCAATTGAGACACAAATCAAGACAGGTGGACACTTTTGTTATTTGTTTTTATTAAAAAACCAGAACCCATAGGGTTCATACATTCATATAAAATACAATCATTTCCCATTTTTACTCGGTTTTTACACTGTTTTACAGTTGCTGAGAAAACCCCCCACATTATTAAATTCATAATTGTGCAATATATATATCTTTAGGTGAAACATTCTGCCCTTAAATGTTAGAGGCAGACCGCTGCCTTTTCCGTTTCAAATCAGTCCCTTAGAAAGGTAATGCCATGCTTCTGAATAACCTAAGGCCACAGTTTATTTGCAAGTAACCCAGAAAGTGATCCCAAGATTAAAAACAAAAGAACACCATCTCGATTGGTTGCGCTGACACAACCGCAATGATACTAACCAACTGCCAACCTTTGTTGGTATTAGTCATTGTAAGCACCTAAGTTATCAATGTTTTAGGTTTTACTCTAAGACATGCATATTATACAGCCACGTTATTGCTATTCAAGTAATGGGAAGGAGCCAAGAAGGAGCATGTTTAGTTTCCTTCTGATGCAAATCTTGCTATATTATTACATAATATTCTCATTTCTTAAAAAAGGCATAGGTGATCCCACAGAGGATTTGGTTTTAAGACAACTGTCGTTCCCAGAATAAGCTGCAATGTGGTCTTGGTTAAAGCGTTATAGAGATCTTTTCTTAAAAAAACAAGTGGGGCATAGATGCCAGGAGGTTAAGTGCACTTTCTTGCCTCATTTAGACAAGCAAGATGGTCCAGACATTTCTAGCCTCTTGCGCCACTAAATAAGCTTTTGCAGAAAGAAGGGAACAACATTTGGTAACTCTGTCGTGAAATACAATGTATGGTTTGACTGGAATTGTATGACAGACATATGGTTGGGGTCTATATAGTCTAGGGATGCCATCCTAAGATGAAGACTGCAAAACTACAAGGAGGTGGTAAAGCATTCATGGACTACAATTAAAAGCTGCTGATGAGAACTGTGACAAGGATTAACTGATAAACTTTTGGGGAAAAACAACATGTTTATGTTATCAGAGACAAAGGCTCTTTGAGTTAAGGAAATGTTTACAAGGTTCCTTACATTAAGAAGGAAGTTAACACCAGGCTCCTTATGTTTAGGGTAAAGATTTTCCCCTGACATTGAGTCCAGTCGTGTCCAACTCCGGGACTCTGGTGCTCATCTCCATATCTAATCCAAAGAGCCGGCGTTGTTCGTAGACAGCTCCAAGGTCATGTGGCCGGCATGACTGCATGGAGCACCATTACCTTCCCGCCGGAGTGGCACCTATTGATGTACTAACATTTGCATGTTTTTGAACTGCTAGGTTGGCAGAAGCTGGGGCTAACAGTTGGAGCCCATGTCGCTCACCGAATTAGAACCTGCGACCTTTAGGTTAGCAAGTTCAGCAGCTCAGCGGTTTAACTTATTGCACCACTGGGGGGCTCCTCCTTATGTTTACCAACACCAATTAAAGAGAGTCAACATCTGTCCAGAATTGAGATGAAGCCAGGATGTTTTAGGCTGGAAAAACATCTATCATTAATTTACAACTTTGGAACAATATGAGCAAAAAATATTGCTATGTAAGAGACCTTATTACAATCCAATCTTGCAGGATCTTGCCAGGGCTTGCAGCTGAGCACCAGATGACTTAAGAGGCGCTCTGTACTCAGCTTGGTGCTTGGCTGTAAGCTCTGGCAGTCACGGGCACTTTGGGCCTGCAGGCCACACACACACACACACTCTTAAAGAGAGTGTCTTTCCAAGTTACTGTGTGTTGAAAAGTACAGGGGGGCCTTACTACTGATTTTAAAAGATAATGGAGCCTGAAGAAGAGCCAAGGTCTGCAAAAACAGCATCAATGAGCCACAGACTGCATTTTGCCTGTCCGGATTCAGAGACAGGGGTTTATCTCACTAACCCTAACAACTCAAATGAATGCTGGAGAGAACCTGAGAATTAGTGAAATGGACCTAAAACTGAGGGGAAGGAGAGTGTGGGACTGGGAAGCCCCTCCATGCTGCCCAATGGGACGAAAAATGTTGTTCATTCAGATGAAATAATAAAACAGCTGGGTTGTTGTAGGTTTTTCCGGGCTATATGGCCATGTTCTGGAGGCAATTTTACATGGCCATATAGCCCAGAAAAACCTACAACAACCCAGTGATTCCAGCGATGAAAGCCTTCGACAATACAATAAAACAGCTCATTCAGAAAATCCCCGTTTTTGGAAGCAGCGTTTGAAAACGAAAATGGGGCCATATGAATGAAACAAACAGAAACTGATAGTGATTCTATACAAAAGCACGCTGAAGTAAGTAGTTCGTGAATGGATTATTTGTGCCCACTGGATTTCAGAAAGGCCACGCTTTGCCCATTCTGAGATCAGTCAGGAACCAGATCTGGTTACCTACTCCGCTCTCTCTCTCGTGCCATTGCACAATGGGCACCTCAAAGCCTCAAAGAACTAGAGACAACAAAAAGGAGTGTGAGTCTCCCAAAACAGTGACAACCACATACACTCCCAGCAAAAGATGTCCCACACTTTCTGTTCCCACTCAGAAACTTATTAAAGAGAGAAACATTTGAGGGTAACGGGGTAAGGACAATGAAATAAAAACATATTTTTTGTTTTCTTTTTTTCACACAATATATAAATTGTATTACAGAGAAATTATATCCAAGATGGGATTGACTGAAAAATTTCTCCCCATCCAAAACGAGCTAGAAGCAGTACAAACTCTGGAGTGACCTTTTGGTATTTGCTTATAACCCATATCCAAGAAAGAGGTAGGTCTTTTGCTTTTTCTGAAACGAGGCAATGAAGAGTGCGACTTTAAATTCTGATTCAATCTTCCAACACAGTGTCAAAGCCATGCGGCTCCCTTCAGCCCAATAGAATCAAAGAGTTGGAAGAGACCTCATGGGCCATCCAGTCCAACCCCCTGCCAAGAAGCAGGAATATTGCATTCAAAGCACTCCTGACAGATGGCCATCCAGCCTCCGTTTAAAAACCCATTGACTCCAAATGGGGCCAAGCTGATGAAGCTACACATCTGGCTGCTCCCTACATCAGATCACAGCAAACCCACAAAAGCAAAAGAGAAGGTACTCTATTCACCTTGCAAATAAATACTAATAAATACAAAAAAAAATCCCAGCAGGAAAACCCAATCTGCAAAGAAATTACAACAAAACCCATATTTGCCGTCACGGTGCTGTTCCTTCCACTTCTAACAATAAATGCTTGCAGCTTCATAACATGGTATGTAATACCATCATCTTCCATTCAAAATTGGAATGAGATTTAGTGCTAGTATTTGACTTGATGCCAGAGGTGCAATTTTTGAACTAATCTTGAAGATTCTTGTGAAATAGTGAAGTTGAAGAAGCCCTTGAAACCAGTGGAGTGGATTGCAAGGATACAGACAAAATGATTCCATTTGCTCACTCAGCGTGTAACTTTTGTATCTCCCTGTTGCAACTTCCTTCCTTTTACTCTGTGCAGCAACTTCTATGGCTTCTCTCCTCTGATACATTCTGTCTTTCCATCCAAATAAAAGAGGGTCCACTTCATCCAGGAACGGTTCGCATTGCTTCTTCGGTGCCAACCAAACCACAAGGCTTTCCTTTCTTTCTCTCTCTTCTCCACAAAGAGGCACAACTTATTTGGACCTGAGACTTCAGGCACGGTTTCAAATTCACGGTAAGAATGCCGCTTTTTTAAAAAAGCATTTTAAACAGAAAACATAGACAACCAAAATCAAGACATCCGTGCCATCCGAGAAAGATGCAGTTATTTCCAACTAATCCTTATGCCATGATTGAAACCGGTTGACTGTCTTCTACTTCAGTTGGATGTGGATCAATCTGGAAAAAAAATGAATGCACTTAATGTTTGGGATTCTAGAATTCATGTATGTTTTTTGGGAGGAGGTATTGTTGGCGCAACAGGTTACATTTATTTATTTATTTATTTATTTAGAACTTTTATATCCTGGTCTTCTCAACCTCCGCAGAGGGACTCAGGCCGACTAACAACAGAAAATGCATACACAAGCTAATAACACCATAATACATTAAAATACAAACAGAATAATTTATTTATTTACTTTATTTATATACCGCTTTTCTCAGCCCTCAGGCGACTCAAATACATAAAGCCAAATCATCAAGTTAAAATCACATTCATCACAGTCTGCCAGTGTGGTCAGTAGTTATTAGGTTATTGTTGAAAACCTTGTGCTGCTGAACTGCTGACCTGAAGTCCCTTCAAGGAGATGGTGGCAGGATACAAGAATAAAGTTATTATGATTATTAAGGTTGGCAGTTCGAAGCAGCAGAACAGAGTGAGCTCCCACTGTTAGCCTTAGCTCCTGCCAACCTAGCAGTTCGAATACATGCAAATGTGAGTAGATAGGTACTGCTTTGGCGGGAAGGTAATAAAGACACCCATGCAGGTATGTCGGCAATATGATTGGGAAGATGTCCATGGACAACACACTCCTTGGCATGGAAAATGGAACAAGGGCACCTCCTCATGGTTGGAGTTGAGCACCGTCTCCAGACACCAGAGATTAAAAAGGGGCCTTTACTTTTGTCTGTGTACTGTATGTATTTGTTGTTAATTGTATAATTGCATTGAATGGTTTGCTGTGAGCTTTCTGGACTGCATGGCCATATTCCAGAAGCATTCTCTCCTGATGTTTTCACCCACGGCTATGGCAGGCATCCTCAGAGGTTGTGAGGTCTGTTGGTAATGAGACAAGTGGGGTTTATATCCCTGTGGGGTTTATATCCCTGTGGAATAACTTGTCTGCTTGATGCAAGGGTGAATGTTGCAATTGGCCACCTTGATTAGCACTGAATGGCCTTGCAGCTGCAAAGCCTGGCTGATTCCTGCCTGGGGAATCCTTTGTTGGGAGATGTTAGCAGACCCTGATTGTTTCCTGTCTGGAATTTCCCTGTTTTCTTCCTCTTTATTTACTATCCTGATTGAATATTTGCATCTATTCAATACTATTCAGAGGTGGCCAATTGCTACATTCACACCTACCCCAAGCAGACAAAGAGTTCTCTCTTCCACCCTGGACATCATTCCACAGGCATATAAATCCCTCTTCCCTAGTTTCCAAGAGACCTCACAACCTCTGAGGGTGCCTGCCATAGATGTGGGCAAAACGTCAGGAGATAATGCTTTTGGAACATGGCCAGACAGCCTGGAAAACTCATAGTAATTCAATGATTCCGGCCATGAAAGCTTTCGACAACACATGCCATTGAATGTTTGTCATATATGTATTCTGTAATCCACTCTGAGTCCCCTTTGGGAGAGAGAGTGGAATACAAATAAAGTATATTTACTGCTTACGATTCTGGAATTCATATTTTTTAAGGGGGGGGGGTGGGATATTGTTTAAAGATTGCATAACTTCTCAATGAATCTCCCCTTACGAACCTGCGAGGACTTTAAGATCATCTAGAGAGGCCCTGCTCTCCGTCCCACCACCATCTCAAGTACAGCTGGTGGGGACGAGAGACAGGGCCTTCTCAGTGGTGGCCCCTCGGCTATGGAACGCCCTTCCTAGGGAGATTAGATTGGCTTCTTCACTCCTATCATTTCGGAAGAATCTTAAGACATGGCTATTTGAGCAGTCATTTGCGAATACTGAGTAATGGATATAATAACGGAATAATTACATGACGGGACTGGACATTGTTTTAATGAGCATCGATTGAAGTATGTTTTATTATAATGTGATGATTTTATTGTTGTTGATCTTTTATACTGTATATTGTATTTATGTTTTTGATGGCATTTAATTTTTGCCTTGTAAACCGCTCCGAGTCACCGGAAGGCTGAGAGGGGCGGTATATAAACATACTAAATAAATAAATAAACATATTGTTTCGAAGTTAACTTCCCTCGACTTGGATCACGAAGCCCCCCCACCCCCCCCCCCCCCCCCGCGCATCTTAATTTTACCTCTGAATAGAGCGGAGGAGGCTGAAACCGAAATTCTTGAATGTAGGCAAACAGAGGGCAACACAGCTGTTGTTCATCACAGTCAACCGGGGCCGGGTAAGCAGTAACATGTCGTGAAAACTCTTCCTCGGATACGATATCAGCATAATTGGGTGGGGCTAGAAGGCAAACAACATGCAAGTCAGTTCAGTTACTAATCTGTTGGGGAAACTTATTTTTTGGCCACGAATCTGTTCCTAAGCTGTAACTCTGATAAATGCTGCCCCAAAACTCAGAAGTAGTCATTTCCTTTTAAGAGGCACTCAAGTCTTTAAGAAGCTGCAACGATTTTTGTACATTCCTCTGTTCAGCTTCCTAAGAGATCTGCAAAGGTTTATGCTGAAGATAAAAAGGTGTGTGTATGTGTAGGGTGGGTTTTGGACTCTGGAAGACCAGGCTCCAAACTTTTCCTCAGCCACAGAAATCCACTCAAGTGACCTTCAGGCAGATCACACACTCTTGGTTTCAGAGAAAGGTAATGGACTCAAAAAACCTGTTATATTATTAGAAAATCCATAGGAAAAAACTTGGGAACACACACAAATCTATGTATATAATAAAAGTCAGTGTTTGTATGCGGAGGGAGGATGGTGTATGTGGCAGCTTTCTGATTGGTTGCCACTTTAACAGGTCACTGTGACCAGAATGGCTGACGGACTTTTATCAAACTTGGCACACATAACCCTCATGACCCCCTTTATGTCCTGGTGAGGATTGGGGGAGGATGGACAAAGGTTGATGGGATTTGTAGTACTTTCAAACCCATCGGTTCCCACAGACCACAGTGGCCCCCAACAAAGACCAATAAAGAGCAAACTTGACCCACTCTACATCCTACTGCAGTTTGGAGGAGGGTATACCATGGATGATGGGACTTGAAGTACCTCCACTCACTTCCTGAGACCGCTGCGACCCGCATCCAATGACTGATCAAGACCAAACTTGGCACATATAACTCCCATGACCCCCTTTACATCCTGGTGAAATTTGGGAGAGGATGGACAGTGGAAGATGGGATTTGTAGTACTTTCAAACCCTTCAGATCCCACAGACCACTGTGCCCCCCCCCCCAAAGACCAATAACGACCAAACTTGGCACACAGAGCCCCCATGGCCAACTCAACATTCTGGTGAGTTTTGGGGGAGAACAGACTATGGGTGATGGGACTTGCAGTACCTTAACTCATTTTCTGAGACCACTGTGACCCTCATCCAATGACTGATCAAGACCAAACTTGGCACACAGAGCCCCCATGACCCACTCTACATCTTGGTGCAATTTGGAGGAGGATGGACCATAAGATGATGGGACTCGCAGTACCTTCACTATACAATACAATACTGACTTAACACTGACTTCTAAAATGGAATCTCAGTCTGAATAGTCCCAGATCTGGTCACATGGTCTGCAGTCCCTCCCACAACCTCACAACCTTAAACAACATAGTTTTAAGGTAAAATAAACACATATACAATATAATAAGCAACCTGAATTATAGAAACAACAAAAAACTAGTATAGTATTGTAGAAGATTGCTATTTCCAACAGATGATGGGAGTTGGATACCCACATCTTTATGTGTTTTCTAATGAGACCATTCATAAAACCCAAACAATGACTACTTCTATTGTTTATCCTTAGCAAAATACTAACCTGGGTATTACTGGGTACCTTTGCTAGTATGTTGTGTGTATGTATGTGTCATATATGTATATGTATATGAAAGTCCAACTATGTCTGCCTGACTGAACCACAAAGGCTTTTGTTAGGTGACAATTCAGTGGTCATTTGCAATGTCACTGGATCAGCTGTTGCTAGGTGAAGTGGCCCTCTGTGATGTCACTGGGAAAGAAAGAGGATATGTATGAGTGAAAGGGAGGAAGGAAAGAGTCAACAAACAGAGCCAGGCTCCTGTGGAAACATTGTGAAGCCCTCTCAAAGCTGGAGAAATGGAAAAAAGAAGGGGAAGGAAAGGCAGGAAAGAAAGAAGAATGAAAAAAAAAAGAGAAAAAGAAGGAAAAGGAGGAGGGAAGGAGGGGGAAGAAAAGAAAAGGAGAGATGGAAGGAATGGGGGGAAAGTATGAGCGGAGGAAAATTACTATAATTGCTGTTGTTTATTTATACCATTCGTTTTCTCTCCTCAAAGGATACTCAAATGAAAGATGAAGAACAAAGGAAAGCAGGAAGCTGTAGTCCCTCTGACACCAAATGGATATGCGAGTGTTACAATGACTTCTACCCTTGGCTCAAAGGAGCTCCTCAGTTCTCTCCAAATCCAAATATCAATGCACAATGCTGGCTTTCATTTCATAACAGCTTTCAATATCTACAAGATATCTGCAATATCTGTTCCCGCTATAAAGGACTAAATCAAAACCCCCACATCAATACCTTCAGGATGTTCTGGCATGGTCAGCGCCAGCCAGCTCATATCCACACTGAACTGGCTGACGAGGCTGGAGTTTCGGCTGGCAAACGCAGTGCATGGGATTGTGCCAATGACCAGAGGCAGTTCAAGCATCAGCTTTTTAGCACCAGGGATATGAATGTAGACCTGCAAGGAGGTATTGTTATTACTACATTGCTTTATGTACTTTGTAAATAAAAACCCAAACCTTTATACTTCTGTAACATTACTGTTAACTACATATGCCTGTAACATCAGCCTGATACATTCACATAATCTTATACTGACCAGCCAATCTGCTGCTATGTCTCTGGACTTTTTATTCAGTCAAGTTTAAGGTACAGACCTTTGAGTGTGAAGAACAACTACACACAAAGAACAATTTGAGCTTGATTTAATATCTGGAGAGCTGGTTTAAAGTTGTGAATTTTAATCTGACTTTCATCAGGGAGTTGTAACTTGTTTTTAAACTGTTAAAGACAGGTTCGGGACTGGGAAAGGAGTACGGCAGGACTGTATACTCTCACCTGACCTATTCAACTTGTATGCAGAACACATCATTCAGGATTTAATGAATCCAAGGCTGGAGTTAAAATGGCTGGAAGAAACATTAACAACCTTAAATATGCAGATGATACCACTTTGATGGCTGAAAGCGAGGAGGAGCTGAGGAGCCTTCTAATCAAGGTGAAAGAAGAAAGTACAAAAGCTGGGTTGCAGTTGAACATCCAAAAAACCTAGATGGTGCCAACCAGACTGATTGATAACTGGCAAAGAGAAGGAGAAAACATGGAGGCAGCAACCGGGTTTTTATTTCTAGGTGCGAAGATGACAGCAAATGCAGACTGCAGCCAGGAAATCAGAAGACGTTTCCTTCTTGGGAGGAGAGCAAGGATAGATCTCGAGAAAATGGTGAAGAGTAGAGACATCAGGCAATAAAGATCTGCATAGTTAAAGCAATGGTATTCCCCTGTAGTAACCTATGGATGCGAGAGCAGGACCATAAGGAAGGCTTAACGAAGGGAGATAGATGCTTTTGAACTGTGGCGTTGGAGGAAAATGCTGAGAGTGCCTTGGACCACGAGAAGATCCAACGAGTCCATACTCCAGGAAAGAAAGCCCAGCTGTTCACTGGAAGGAAGGATATTAGAGGCAAAAATGAACTCCTTTGGCCACATAATGAGAAGACAAGAAAGTGCTGAGAAAACAATGATACTGGGGAAAATGGAAGGAAAAAAGGAAGAGGGGCCGACCAAGGGCAAGATGGATAGATGGCATCCTTGAAGGACCTGGCTCAACTTTGAAGGAGCTGCGGGTGTCAACAGGCTCTGGCCTGGGCTGGTCCAGGAGATCACAGAGTTGGAAGCGACTGAACAAATAAACAACAAAAAAAACCCTCTGTGTACCTTGTTGTGTATGTTTTGATAGTGTTTCATCTTTTTTTTTTTAAATGACGTTATACTTCTCCTTGAGTTGTACGGAGAGGCAGGCAATAAATATTATTGTTGTTGTTGTCATTCATAAGTGGCACATTTTCCCCCAATTCAATGATATAATCTAATGGTCTGAAGGTTATTAAGTCTAGGCAATATATCAACATTATTAAGTCTAGGCAATTCATCAAGGAATACAATAGGGCCAGGCTTAGCACAGCGGGTTAAACTGCCAGCTGCACAAAATCTTACTACAATGCAGCCTGAGCCCTGCCACATGCACAACGGAGGACCTTCTCACAGTGATAACAGAGGCACTCCAAGTGGCCAGCTTCTGGTCGAAGGACATTTAGTATCATGCCAAGTTCTTAACTTTGTTTGTGTTTTTAAATATGTTAAATATGTTATAACTGTCCCCTATGGAGCCCCCGGTGGCGCAGTGGGTTAAACCCGACAGGTCACAGGTTCGAATCCGGGGAGAGGCAGATGAGCTCCCTCTCTCAGCTCCAGCTCCTCATGAGAGAAGCTTCCCACAAGGATGATAAAACATCAAATCATCCGGGCGTCCCCTGGGCAATGTCCTTGCAGACGGCCAATTCTCTCACACCAGAAGCGACTTGCAGTTTCTCAGGTCGCTCCTGACATGACAAAAAAACAAACAAACAAAAAACAAACCTGTCCCCTTCGCTTCTGACATATTAAATAAATAACTGGAACAGTTGAGGGGGGGGGGGGGCTACCACCAGGAAGGCTACAGTGTGATTTCTTGAGTTTAAATCCAAATATAATGCTTGTGAGATGATGCCTAAAATCTCCTTTAACCTGTCCCCAACCCCAGAGCCACATGTGCCATTGAGTTGCAATCCCCATCATCCCTAGTCTGCATGGAGGACAAATAAAAGGGATGGGAGTTGTTGTTCAATAGCATCTAGGGACACAAACTGGGTAAAAACTAAAGAGCTATTTAATAAATATATATAGAATTGGCTCTTTATATCCACGAATTCTCCCTCCATGGATTCAGCAGCCCTTTGAAGGCAACCATAAGGATAACGTGGTCCTCAATGGAAATGAGCCTGACACCCGCTGTTCTTAGTGAAGCTGAATGATGAAAAGCTACACTCACCGCCAAGGAATAGTCAACTCTGATAATGCAGCAGTCAAGGATGGAAGGGGTCACAGGTGGGATTTTCAGAGTTTTCCCATTCCATGTGTCCGTACTGCCAGAGGCAACATGGTTTCCCCGCACATTGGCAACCATCTGACGGAATGTTTTCGTTTTCCCACTTGCAAGGTAAGTCTGTGTTTGGAAAATGGCAGCTTTTGGAACAATCAAACGAGAGGAGCAATTCTCAATTTCTGCATAAATCGGGATGGCTTCACCTAAAATATACATGTATCAAGAAGGAGTGAATTAGTATGTTAATAAACACAATGCTGCAGTTCACCTATTATGAAATAGAAAGCATTTCTTAATTTTGCAATGGGCATCATGCGGAATGCAAATGGGCTGAGTTAACGTTTGGAAAACTGTGTTCTATTTATGTCACAAATACAAAGGCCTTTAAAGGGAGGACACTAAGTTTGGAACTTGATGGTAGTAAGCAAACATGGTATTTTAAAATTATGGAGTATTACTGCGACACAATGAATGCATGATACTAGCCCTGATCCAGTCCTCTTACAGTTATTCATCAGGCCCGGGAAATGAATAATTAGGGCCATTAGTTAGGGCCCTGGTTCTGCATTTTATCCATGCCTCCTTTTCCCATTGGCCCAACCCCCCTACAGCTGTGTGGCAAGCCTTGGAAAAACCACTCCTGCTAGGTTGGCAGGAGCTAGGGCTGACAGCCGGGAGCTGACCCCAACTTGGGTCAGCAAGTTTTTTCTGCAGCTAAAGGTTTAACTCACTGTGCTACCACGGCCCTATATTCCCCCTATGTATTTTAAAATAAGAGTTAATTTTCATTTATCGTATCAGAAGCAAACCAAGGGTGCAATTGTAATGTATTTAAAAAACACATTTAAAAACTTGATTCTCAGGTTGTGCCAGTCAGCTTTCGTATGATATTAATTCTAGCACCCACTTTTTGCTTGATAGTCAAGCAGTGCTTCTTGTAGGTCAGAGCACGGTCCAGGGTAACTCCCATTTATTTGTATGTGCTGCAATGCTCCAGTAGGATTCCTTCCCAGGTAATCCCCACAGCTTGAGATGCTTGTCTGTTCTTAAGGCAAAAAGCACATGTCTGTGTTTTAGATGGATTAGGAATCAGCTGGTTTTCCCTGAAATAGGCAGTAAAGGCACCTAAAGCTTCAGAGAGCTTCTGTTCAACCATTTCAAAGCTCCCTGCTTAGGCGGTGATGGTATGATTGTCAGCATAGATGAAACTCTCTGTTCCTTCTGGCAATGGCTGATCATTTGTGTAGATGTTAAACATTGATGGAGCAATCACGTTCCCCTGAGGCAGCTATTCTTCTGTTTTCGCCATCTGCTTCTCTGGTTCTGAAACTCAACAAAAAAGCTCCCGTTTTGTAGTAGATTTGCTATAAAGTGGGTGAGGTGGTAGTAGGTTGATTGAATCCATGAATGCAGAAGATGGAGGGCCAATTGTATGATGACACAGTAGAGAAACTGGACTATGTGACAAATTAATATCAATTATCTTCCCTTATTTTGAAACAGAACAAGACACACTCACCATTGCAATATCCTTTCCTTTCAATTTTGGCACTCAGAGAAACTGGCCCAGAGGTGAAGAACCAGCATCCAACCATCTTTTCCTGGCACTGCCTTGCAGGAGTCTGCAAAGACAGAGATGAAAAAGCCATGAAAAAGAATTAAAGTACTAATAGTAATGTACCTGCGACCACTATATCAATTCTGGGTTGGAACGAGGCTCATAATAGCAAATTAGCTTTGGTAGCATCCATGCCAGGGCAAGGATGGCAAAATAGGTATAGATCAGGCCCGGGCAACCTTGAGCCCTTCTGGTGTTTTGGGTTGCAACTCCCACCATTCCTAACAGCCTCAGGCCCTTTCCTCCCCCCCCACCCCCAGTCACCAATTACTGCTGCCCTTTGGTGCCTATCAAAGCTCTCCGGAGAGGAGAAACAAAACTCTCCATTTGGGGGCTAGTACATAGAGGTAATCGTGATGTCATTAAGCTCTACTGTTATAACCTCTATATTGTTTTCTTCAGTGTTGTGAGCATTGCTGACTTGGAGGCCTGGTTTTACAAAGACAGCGCTTCCACACTGCGCATGTGGTCTTTCCGCTGCTAAGATCATTCCGGGAACTTCTGGTAGTTTCTGTTGTTTATCCCTGTTTTGTTTTTTTTTGGACACACAGCACATCATATAGAAACCTCCCCATAGGATTGTAACACATCCAGGCATTCCCTGGGCAACATATTTGTAGATGGCCGTTTCTCTCACACCAGAAGCGACTTGTAGCATGCAACCAACCAACCAAACCAACGGGCCCTTTAAGGACCAACTATGACAACAATCTCAATCAACATCGAAGGCATGTCAGCTACCAAAGAACAGCTGATTTATGAACTGTGTCGAGACAAGAAATTCTGCAGAGGAAAAGGGGAAACTATTACATCAAAGAACTGCTGAGGTTTGCTCACATACAGAAATTACTGAGTTCTTATATTTTGAGAGGTTTGGTAGCACTTCTCTATTGCTTACTGTTTGTGAACTTTTGTCCTCATGTCTTTTTATGTCTTTTATCCTCATAATTGCCATTCTGAGGGAATAAATTATGTTTGTTAACATCAGGATTAATGTGCATAACTATGTGAAAGAATGTGCAAATATATGTCAGTAAGTTGGAGATAGATTTGGCATCCAGAAAAAAAGCACTTCTTAGTCACTTATGTATTCCTTTTCTATGTTACTTTTAACAAAACAAAGTGGAAAATACCTAAAATGTTTGTTGCAGGTTGTTTTGTATCTCTGCAGACTCTCTCCGCGGGTTTGTGGTTGTAAGATGCACTGTCTATTTCTTCTTTGTTAGCGTAGAAGGTGAAGATTAAAGGGAAGCCTCATTTCCCAAGTGTCAACGCACCATAGGCTTAGGTTGTGCTCCCATATTTAGTTTGAACAATTGTTTCCCCACATTTGGTGTTTGATTGATAATTGAACACATGTATCCTTGTCTTGTTTTTGATGTGCATTGGATGAAAGTATGAAAACAATTTCATCAAAGATAAGGCAAAAATTTGTGGTCAGTTAAGCACAAAAAAGTGTCCTGCACATCCATGTATTTTAATCCTGTTCTATTTATTGTAGCATGATAATCTCTTAATGTTATTGCTCCTACAAATGGCTGGCAGAGGGTCCTTCATAGGTGATGTGCAGATATCAAAAAGTAGAAGTGCTGTGATAGGTACAACAGTAAACGCCCCCAGCGCAGTTTACCTGTCTGAACACATCTCTCCTTACGAACCACCACAAAGACTAAGATCTTGTGGAAAGGTCCTGCTCTTCGTCCCGCCATTGTCACAGGCACGTTTGGCAAGGATGAGAGACAGGGCCTTTTCAGTGATTGCCCCCTGGCTATGGAACTCACTTCCTGGCAATATTAGATCAGCTCCCTCCTTCCTCTCCTTCAGAAGGATAGTGAAGACCTGGCTGTGGGACCAAGCCTTTGGGGTAGTACAATGAGGCAATAATAGAATGGTGTCCTGAGGTGGTTTTTAAGCAATGGATTTTAAAGTGGATGTAAGTGATTTTAATGTTTGTGTATATTTATGGTTTTCCGTCCCAGCATTGAATATTTGCCATATATATGTTGTGCTCTGCCCTGAGTCCCCTGCGGGGTGAGAAGGGCAGAATATAAATGTTTCAAATATAAATATAATACAATACTTACAAATTTTCCCAAGATCTTGGAATGCTGTTTGCATTAATTTATTTTAGTGTTATTATAATCAACTAAAGGTTTGACAATAATAACTGATTCTATACATATTGGTGACTGCAAATAATCACACTTCTGGACTTTTGGAAGGGTTCCCCCTCCATGGGATCCAAGGAGTATTTAGATGTGTATTACCTTTCCCTACAAACAACAGCTCAGCTCTCATAATTTAATAGCTGGGAAGCTGCACTGACACGTTCACCTTCTCCAGCATCCAGGGATGGGTTGTAAATGGGCTCCTGCCCAAAAGAGATGGCCAAAAAGCCTTCTTCATGTTGGGAGGGCACTGCAGATGGCCCTGCGCCCAGAGGACATTCTTTTAGAAAGCAGTTTCAACTGGACTGTTTACATTACCATTCCATTTCACAATACTGTGGGAAAGCAGGACTGTTTCTTTAGAGAAACAAAATAAATATAGCATGCAACCCATTCGTTTGGATAACTCAATTATTTGGAAAAGTTGTTTTCCAGAGCTAAATCAATTATACTTCAGAAAGGATGTTAAACTAATATTTAAATTAATACAGACAAAATGAAAACGTCAAACTTAACAGAATTAGGAAAGGCCACCTGAGGCCAAATTTACATTTTCTGTGCTAAACACTAATAGGCTTCTTTAAGAATACAAATATGTAAGTTGACATGATGTGAAAGGCATCTTAGCAAGGACAGAATCCTTTCTGATGGTATAGAGGTATATAAATAGGTAAAAATCAAACATATGCTGATAATAAGCCAGTTTGAGGAGAATTCCAAAGAAACAATACCCAAATAGTCCTAAGACATGTTCAATAACTCTGACCAACACACAATTGAGTGCCTCATATGTTAGCTCTGCTCCTGGGTATATTTGACCTGCTGGTTCTAAAAACACTAGTTTCCCCCTATCAGCTCTGGTTTTTGAGATACAGAACATCTTCCACATACCAATCTCCATCCGAGCCAGGCTTTAGAACAGCAGGTTAACTGCCAGCTGAAGTAAATCTTGCCAACGGAAAGGTTGCTAGTTCAAAGCCTGGGTCGGGGTGAGCTCCTGACCTTTAGCCCAGCTTTTGCCTATCTAGCAGTTTTGAAAACCGCAATGTGAGTAGATAAATAGGTACCGCTTTAAGCAGGGAGGTATTAAGGGCACCCATAAGGAAATGCCGGCGATTTGATCAAGGAGGAAATTTACAAAGAAAGCTCTTCGGCAGGGAAGATGGCGCAAGAGCACTCTCCGGTGGCTGGAACTAAGCACAGCCTCCAAGGTGCCGAAGATGGGAAAGCCTATATACACTTCTACCTATGTACAGTTGTCTGTCTTGTCAGTGTACAATGGCACTGAATGTTTTCTGTATATGTGTTTGGTGATCTGCTCTGAGTTCCCTTTGGGGTGAGAAGGGCAGAATATAAATACTGTAAATAAATAAATAAATAAATACTGCCCGTCCATAGAAAACCATCATAATCGTATCTAGAAAACTAGAGCTGATATGGTCTAGCCAATGCAGTTTTCTGAATCAGGCCCTAAATAACCCCAGGAACAGCAAAAAAAAAAAAAATTAAAATAAAATAAACCAACAAAACAACAACAACAACAAAAAAACAAGACACCAAGGGAAAAATATGGTTGGGCCGTGTAATCATTCAAAGTTCATTTAATATATGTGTGTGTGTGTGTGTGTGTATCAGCTTATTTTAATGACTAAGTTGAAGGCAGGTTTGAGGTCTAACCTTATGGATTTTGGTATAAGTCAATGATCAAAGAGCAAAAGGGCATCACCAATTTCCCACCTAGGTTCTTGTTCTTCACCACTCCATTCAGAAAAGGGCATAGCTCTTTTTCTGGAAAGTGTTAAGGTACAGTACAGACCCTAAACTATGGGGAAACTGAGCCAGGATTTGGGGTGAATGTTTTGACTAAAATCTCTAGACTTATACTGTATTCCGGTTAAGATGCTTCCGGTTAAGATGGCGGGGAGTTAACAGCGGATTTTCAGAGCGGTCCGGTGAGAAATACCAAAATTGAGT